TGGTGGGGTCCATATCGTTCTCCAATCATTTTGTCCGTTCGCTCATGTTAAAGAATACAATGTAGTCCTGCTTCAGACAACTTCAAGGTCTAAGACTTCGAAGAGCCAACGTTCCCAGACTCGTGAGAGCTACGAGGAGCTACGTACACCTTGACCCAACTTCAACTTATATACAGTGGCCGCGGCTGGCTCTCTTCTTATGGAAAACCATTCCAAAACAAGTTGTAAAAGAAGAAGGAACGAGAACAAAAGGGACCGCCCAAAAGGCATGGATCCACGCAAATGCACTTTCCACCGAGGCCCATTGTTGTTTGTAGAGTTCTTTGCGTCTTTGCAGTGTTGAGAGAAAGGCAAATGGCAGAAAAACGGTGTACGGCAGCACACAGTCGCCAAAGCACACAGTCGGCAGACAAGACAGCCAACCACGAATTTCATGCAGAAAGGGACCTGCGGGGAGGGTTGCTTTTCGGGAAGAATTTGGGGCCTATGCCATATGCTGGCCATGCTCCAGAAAGCTCAGGGAAGGTGCTCCAATATTCCGTGACGCTTCTAGAAGTCCGCACCTTCGGTCGTGAAAGGTGTTGGAAAAACGTGCTCCATGTCCTTTGGCGAAAAAAAACACGGATGTTGACACTCCTTTTCACCCACGCTGTCTTTAAAGAATTTGTCATGTATGACAGTCAGCACGGTGATGACACAAGCAACAGTGCGAATGCCTCCGAAGACGGTTTCCACGCCCTGTCGAATCTGCAACGCAGCTGAGCCAACCCGCGGCTGCCGAATCAAAAACCTGCGACTGTGACCAAGCTTTTGGATCTTCACTTGCACATGTTCACTACTTGCAACCAGTGCTTGCGGTAGAAAATCTAGGATGGACAGAGCAAAACCGACCATGAACGACGATATCATAATGTCTATTCATATCTAATGCACACATCTTGAACCGGGATGGGTAGGCAAAGCCCAGCATCAATCAAAGAACATTGGGAAAAACACACACACACACACTTTCACCAACAAGTGCACTTGTTGCTGTTGGTGATAGGCGAGCTCATGCCAACGCAAAATTGGGTGGATTCAACTCACTTGAAGAATGAGTCAGTGGGTTCAACCATTCCAAGTAAGTACAGGTTGAAAATGAAAAATCTCTGAAATCAGTCACTACGTACTGCTGGTAGTAACAAGGACCTCGCTACCAGTTTACTAGTAGCAAGGACGCTACCAGTAACAAGGGCATTGCTACTAGCAGCTTCTTAGCAATGCCCTTAGCTCCCCAGAAAGTGATCATGGTCGTCTCCCATCTCTTCATGGGTCATCTCTGTAGTTCCCATCTGCGCGAGGGAGTCTCTGTGGTACTCATCGAATCACTGGTGGAGTCCGTCTGCTTGGAGTCCGTCCGTCTCATTGCCAGGTGAAAAGTGTGTGGAGGCTGTTGAGGTTTCTTCTACTCTGACACCACTGGGCCACTGGGAAGGAGGTGAAGGAGCTCTTGCAAAACATCCTGCTTTCCCCGAACAAGTCACAAGACTTCTGGTTCAACTCTTAGGGCTCTTCACGAGACAATCTGCAGGTCATTTGTGCTTCGAGCATCTTCCGCCGACGGGATGTGGGCGGGACTGTACGTCCGTCATTTGCGTTTTGGCAGCACTGTTCAAACATTCCTTCGCGCGACTGAAGCGTACCGGTGATAAAGCACTGCATGTGTAATTGTGATGAGCCACAAGCTTGTGAAGAGCTGAGGAAAGGCTGAGAATATTGAATAAAAACACTGGGATCAGGGCACACTCTATTCATCCCTGGGGGGATGGAGTCCATTCAAACACACCTCCGATCACCTCCGTATCCAAGCGAGCATGTGAGCATGCATCAGGCAGTACTCCGCCTACATATTGAACACTATCGCCGCCCACAAATAAAGAATCTAATTACATCAACAGCTTGCAGCTAGTCTTTGTTACCAACCTTTGCACCAGACTAAAAGATCCCTTGGCCCGCTGGGAGAAGACCATTTTCTTTTTCCACTTTGACATGACGCTTTTTGCAGACCACGTGCCACGTGATGCACGACCACGAACGCATGAGTTGGGATATTGTATAAACATGTAGCATATATAACTTACCCACCAACTCTGGACCAGTCCTGGATTTGTTTTCGGGGAAGTGTCCTGAACCGTTCTTTCCTTTTCCTACCAGGTTCACCTGTTCTATCCTGCTCCTCCACAGCCCAAGATGTTCAGAGCATGCTCCCGGTCTTGAAGGTTGACCTCTGGCTACCCAGCTGGATCTGGTCTAGCGGTCTAATGAATCTATATAACACATGCTCCCACCATCGGTCTGACTCATTGTCGCTTCTCCTCTCGCGCTTTCGACCGAGCAGTCGACCTCCTACCACCCCAGCGCTTTCGCCTCGATCCCACCGCGCGGAACGGGCCGCCCAGGCCCCACTAGTGGAGCCGAATGGTGGACCCCCCCCCGGCGGAACCCGCGGAAGCGATTTCCGGGTGAAGCCGAACGTGGCGAACGTGGCGGCCACGTGGCGTGGTGCTAAACACACCACTGCTCCCCGTCTCTGAAGCCAATTCTCCGTCCCGCTGGTTTGCTTAACAGAGATCACCTGCATTCCACTTTGTGCTGGAAGGAGCTGATGGCTTGAACGTCAGATGAATTCAGATCCAAGCCGAGAGTTGCACGTTCGTCAGATCCAAGCGTCCGATGGTTGGTTCTCTGCACGGATGGCCAAATTGAAGGGAGATGAAGGCGTCTGGTGCTTGGAAATTGGTCAGCCATGCACATGAAACGGGTTGAGTATGTTAGTTGGCATATCGGTGGGGTCTTGCAACACCCCCCAACTTTCAAGCGCGGCGAGTTTGCTGAAACATGTTGAACCCCAAATGAAGCATCAAAATCACAGGCTGTATGTTTTGCCATCCTGGTATAGATAGCACAAGCCCCACAAAACTTGGCTTTCATGTTGGATTCTTTGTGCAAGTGTGTTGGCTTCAGAGGCTCCATGTTCTTCAGGAAAACCACCCTGATGGTCCAAACGAACAAAAGCTGGTGAATCTGGATGTGTGTGTGATCGTTGTTCGTCCAAATCATGACCGTCTGGCTGGTTGATCAATGTCGAAACATCATGGATTTGCCAGGTCAAAGCCATGCTCCGGCAATGCCAGAAGAGGCCTAGATGTGCTACTCTCGCACTGGCAACCTTGAAACGTTTGGTCGAAGACAAACACACACCTCTTGCTCAGGATCTCCTGCTTTGGATTTCCACATTGAGCGTTTTATTTGCATGCACTGCAATGGTTAGTGGGTGATAAAAAAACAACTGTACACTAAAAGGAGCTAAGCATTGAGGAGTGCACTTAACTGCAAAGATCCATGAGACGATGTGACAGGTGAGCTGGACAGATTCCTTCGACGACTTACTGTCGGCACTTCATGATTCATCTAACTGCACAACAGTGCGAGCAATGCATCCCAACGTGCAGAGATGTGTAGTGACCCAGGTCCGGGCAAGAACTTGACAATTGCGATCTCGACGATCACATGTCCAAAGCCATGTGTGCAAAACGAATTTCCGTCTTGAGCCAGGACTCTTGCCTGATCAAGGCATCGAAGATCCCAAAGGGAAGTTCAAGGGCGTATCTAGAGAGCCTCCAAAGCAACACCAGCTGAAGCAAAGTTTGCCACAAGTGCTAAGCCTGTTTTGATGTGTGGGGGACGGTGTGAGAAAAAACCAGGCTATACTCCTACGAAACAGTCATGGCCACCGGTCTGTGGGGTCGGGCGAATACGGTGCCAAAGGTCGATGAGCGGTCAAAAGCCAGCGATCCGTGTACTCCCCAGACAGCTCTCACTTCCCAAACGGATCCGATTTCTGAAGCTCTTATCCAAGTCTTTGTTCGAAGCGAACAGCGCCAAGCTCATGTTCTGAGACTGGGCGAACTCCCATGCACATGTCTCCAAATCTGGGCACCGACGACAACAAAAGGCCCCTTTCGACCTGTCTGTGCCGGCCGAGGTCTTTGGAGATGCTGCAACTCAGGCGGGTCAGGGTCAGTGAACGATACCTTCTAAGGATGTAATTCAATTCATGTATAAATTCATAGCCTCTTGCATGGGTGGCGTAACCTAGATGTCTTTGGCTGCCTGACAAGAATGATCACAAGTCGGTTGGTTTGCTTCAAGCCCCTTACTCGCCTGTGACAACAGCGCGCTCACTCTCTTCAACGTGCGTCGCATGACGCCTTGACTCTCTGGTCGACGGTTTTCTGCGATACGCCATGCGCTTGGCTGGCCGTGGAAAAGGATGGACAAAACCTGCTTTGCAGGACACCTGAGACGATGAATTCTTGGCTTTTCCCGTCCGAACACACCAACACCCCACCCCACCTGGTCCACCAGTGGCTCTGTCTTTGTCGCGCTGTCTCGGTCGTCCGAGTCCGGGAATCCCTTCATCGGTGCCCCAAAACGAGGACCCTTACGTCCACGCCCGTAGGCCACGCCAAGACGCCTGGAAGAGGAAGAAGTGTGTTTAAGAACGAAAAACGCGCAGAAAACAATTTTTCTCTCTATACCATTTCTTGGAGAGAAGAGCAAAAGCTCCTTGGTCGTTCTTGGCACCATGCTTGGGCTAACCGGAGTAATCAGTTGCATGTAGTAACCATGCCCTTGGGATTGTGCGCTAAGAGTCTTGAAGACGGTATATTATATGTTATTTGGGTATGCCATGTTCTCCTAAACGGTACATCTATATTGTTTTATAAAACATAAACTATAAACATCTAAACACTCCTACTGACTAACATGGAAGTGGAAAAAAACATTGTTCGTAGAGGAAAGGAGTGGAATGTAGTCTTCCAAGGGACCATTTTCCACTTCCATGTTAGTGAGTCAGCGTGTAAATACAAATTGTATACAGTAACCGCAGTAACTATATATTTTCATGTATTTTCCAAATGTGTTCCACTGCCAGCCTCCTTAAAAACGCGCCCCCTCTAAGCACCACCAGCACCGGACACTAGCGAAGCTTCGCTGCCAGCGACGGCACAGGTGGCGCCAAACTTGGAGAGTAGCTGCATCATTCTCCTTAGTCGCCACACCACACCAGCAACCCAACCGGACTCGGGTTGAGATCCTGGGCCAACAACCACTTCAATGTGTCACTGCACCCAATCCGGTCGTGTCGCGACACGTGCGTCGACATGTTGGACTTCCAGGCGCGCCGGCTAAAGCTCCAAGGGTCATGTCTCCTTGCCGCAGGGCCACTTTCATTGGATAGGAGCGTTTAAGCCCAAACCGGGAGACCTTCACAGCATTCACCTCAGCAGCCCACGTGGTCACCGCCGGTTCCGTCGGTGTCACCCCTCGCTGATCGGACGCTGAGGTTGGAAGATCCGGACGGATGAAATTGGGGTTCGCATCGCTGAAGTTTGACTGAACATGCTCTCCAACCCAAAGTGGTCGTAAAAGCCGATTTGAATCACACCCTGGAGAGTGGTCGTAAACCATGGGGCGGAGTCGTGAGCAGCCGATGCGATCGCCACGAATACCAGTAGAGTAGAGTAGAGTAGAATAGTCTTGTTGATTTGTTGCCTTGAGGCCTTGATATTGGACCGCCACCAACAGAAGAACTTCGGGTTCTCACAGGGCACTAACCCTCCCTAAAAAATAACACCATCAATCGACCCAAACTCTGCCAAGGGACGTCGCTGAACTGGTGCAAGTCAAGAAATTCTTTGACCGCCTTCCAGTCCAGTTCCTAGGATCGGTGCAAGTCAACACGAGTGGCTGAGATCCCACAGGTGGCTTGCGCAAAGCAAAGAGAATCTGCCGCATGTGTGATGGCAGTGACCAGAAAATGTCGTTTAGTAAGAAGCCCCATCTATCAAAAGGTTTAAGGGTTTAAGGGTCTAAGATTCTGTCAAAGGTAGAAGCGGCTCTTTTCCACTTCTTGGCTTGCAAAAGCCGCTGCAGTCATATGTGGTTCATATGTGCATGCAAACAGTGTCTGAGTGTCATGAACCTGACACCCTGCCTTTCAGCGAGGTGTTCTAAGCTCGCTGAACAAGTCGGTTCCTGCAGGGCTTACTGCGAGTTTTCGTCTCCAACAGGCCTACAAATTCAAATCTCCGTCAGTGCTCTCAGATGTTATCCTCCAGCTTGATGGTTCCCTTCTTCTGGGTCGATCACTTCTTCATAGTAAGTGAATCGCCTCCGTGCTCGTGGATGCACGTCAGCCTGCCTCGAGCTGCTGCTTGGCTCACTTGGGTTGCTCATCTCGATGACATTGATGTCGTCCACATCCACGTGCTCCATAGTCATGTCATTCTCCACCGCGTCAGCTTCAGGTGGTAGAAATCGAAGTAGCTCGTCTCTGTTGTTGCCGTCGATCTCGATCACTTCATTTCGATGTTCTCCTGAAGTGTGCTGTCTAATGAACTTCTGCTGCTGCGCCAGCTGCTCGTTCAATTGCTTCACGTTCAAGGCGTTGTAGTCGCTTTGTGAACAAAATGCTTCTCCTGTAGCCTTCTGGTGTTTGGCAATCTTCAATGGCTGCCAGCATCTCATTTCTCAATCTAAAGAGTCTTCCCATCATGTCACCGTTGAGTACTCACGTTGGCTCATTGCTGTGTCCAAGATCGTGTTGATGAAGTTGGAAAGTTCTCTTGATGCAATCGTCAAATGTGTCTCAACTCCTTCTCCAATCAGGAGTAGTTGTTCTCGGTACCAGTTGAAAATCTCTGGTCTCGAAGGAACAATGCGCTCTAGTTCTTCATTGTTTGTCTCTTCTGTTCCATCTGCCAGGATGTGTCCTAGCCTTTGCGAAGAATGCTCCAGCATCTGCCAATGCATGTTCTCAATGTCCACCATGTAGTTCCTTCTGGTCTGCTCTCTCTCTCTCTCTCTCTTTCTCTGAGATGAAATTGCCTCCTTTCTCCCAGTCGAACTCTGCTTGCTCGCTGCTTGACCATGTTAGTTCTTCTGGTCCACTGTCATGATCTTCTCCTCCATGTCCATGACGTCCTCGTTCAAGGTCAGGTGGGTCTTCAGGTCGTCGTTGTTGAACTCGTCGAACTTGTCCTTCAGGATGTAGTTGATCTCCTCCATGATGTGGTTGATCTTCTTCTTCATGATGTCCAAAGAATGAAGTCGCGGTTCTGAAAAAATGTTGTAGATCTCGTTGTCCTTCTCGATGTGGTAGATCATCTTCTCCTCCATCAGGATTTGCTGCTCCATGTGATGCCTCTTGGTGTACTCGTCGTCGAGGTCCTTCGTCTCCTTCTTCTGTGTCACCAGGTCCATCTTCTTGGCTCTGACCTGATTGTGTGAAACATCAAATCTGGGTCCTGTGCCTGGTTGCGATAGTGTCTCTTCTGGACTTGGCTCTTCTGGTTCTTCAGGAACTGCTTCTTCACGTTGTCTGTTGCTGCTCTTGGATTGTGGCCTCATAGGTTCTCTCTCCATTACGTCCTCTGAATGGTAGTGGAAAGATCTGTGCTAGGCTGCTAGGCCTCCTTCACACCTCATAGGCCAAAATGCGTTGTCCATCCACAAATTGTTCGTTCAGTTCCGCAAGTAGTCCGGGTGCTCTTGGTGGTCTCACTCCAAGTCTTGTTGCTTCTCCAGGTGTCATTCTCTGTCTCGCTCTTCTAGGTCTGCCTTCTGCCAGTCCTGAAACCAAAGGTCCGCTCTCCTGGGATGTTGAGGTCGATGAAGAGCTGCTATGATCTTGGTAATCTCGAAGTCGTCGGGATAGTTCTCAATATAGTTCCTCAGTGAACTGAAGTCGGTGTCGTTGAACTCGTAGCGCGTACATCAAGTAGACGATCAAGAGCGCCAATGCTAACATCACCAAATTTCTGATCGTGATGATGTCATTCACCGTCATGTCACCCGGCACTGAAAAACTTGTGCATCCCTGCAAGAAACATGTGCTTCCAGCTAAAATCACTCTCAAGATCTTCTGAATAGTCTTCTGTGTTACTTCTCTTGGGATGGTCTCAATGGTTTCAATCTCTATGCCGTTTTGATTGCCCATCGGAATTAGGCTCATCAACTTCTTTCGTCTCTCTTGCGATAGCTTCTTTGTGTTCAAATCTGCTGGATTGATTGCTGTGGGAACTCTCAGCAATCTCACAATCTTTTCTCTCACAAAGTCTTGGATCCAAAGATTGCGAATGTGAATGTGTTTCAGCTTGCCCTGTCCAGCTCGTTGCATGATTCCTCTGGCTGCTGAACTGTCACTGAAAGCTGTCATCTGAACTTCATTGGCTCCTACTAGAAATCTAAGTAGGCTTCCAACATGTAGCATCTCTGCAATGCCACTGCAGCTTGCGTAGAGCTCGGACTCTGCACTTGAAAGTGCTATTGATGACTGTAACTTGCATGAGCTAACAAGTATACTTCCGTTCAGAAAAACCATATATGAAGTCGTCGACTTTCGGCTTACGTTGCATCCTGCCCAATTGGCGTAGGTGAAAACTTCGAGGTTGTAGACTTTTCTGTCTTCTCTGTTGATCCATTCGGGAAAATCCCAACGGTCACTAGTCACACCAAATCGCTTGAGTTGCGGTAACAAAACCCCAGCATCTTGTGTCCCTTGGAGATAGCTCCCAAGGTGTCTCAAAGCTGTGTATGCCAACTTTGCTCCTCCAGCCGTGTAGGTTGACAAAGTCTTCAAAGACTGTTGGATGTCTGGTCGATCTTGTGCTATGTAAAGCGCCAACCCAAAACCAGATCGGAACATTCGTTGGTCTTCCGCATTGAGTCGTTCACGCTCTTTGATGTTGTCTTTGTCGTACACCTCGTTGCTGTGATGCGGCAATGTCTTGATTTTCTTTCCATGTAGCTCAAGTAGCTCTACCATCTGATTGATGTAGGAGGGATTCGGCTGCACAAAGATTCCCTGCCTTGCCAAGACCACTTTCTTCTTCAGGTAGTAGAAGGTGCTGTTGCTGCCATACTCGAATGGTCCTTCCGCATTCATGGTCAATTGTTTTCTCACCATCTCACTGAACCATGTCCAATCTTCAACTCCACTTGCCACTAAGACATCGCCCACATGGATCATCAAAAACATCTTTCTCGTGGAATGCTTGAATACTGTTGGCATTCCTTTGCAGCTCTCAAAGTTCGTCTTCTCAACCAACTCCTTGAAGTGTTCACTCCATCTCAGGGCTGCATTTCTTTGCCCTGGCAAGCACTTGAGTAGTCGCCAGCGTTCTGCTGTCAGCAAGGGATTGTTCCCCATGCGCTAGGTTTCTCACCAAGCTTGGAACAATCACTTCCACCAATTCTCGCTGTTGCATTGAAAGAAAAGCATCTTTGATGTCTGCCACAAACAAACATGGATTGAAAAGCTTTCCAAGAACCAAAATCAATCTCATCGTGAATCCTGCTGGTGTTGGTCTAAACGGTTCTCATCCGTGTTGCCTGCCTGTGCGGTATTCGCGTGCCACTATGCGACATCTTCTTTTCCATATACCTCTGAATCTCCAGTCGAAAACACATGTGGCATCCAGCAAAAGAGGTTCATCTGTTGCGTCATCTGCTCCTGCTAGAACTTCAAGTTGCTGCAATCTGCTGATCTCTTCTAGTGTTGCTTTCTGGTCAAGTTCATTAAGTTCATCTTCACTCACATTGGGAGGTCCATCACGTTCAGCTCGATCACCAAATGACTTCTCACGTGTGTCCATTTCTACTTTGAGTTCCGGGTGATGCTCGAGGTCAAAGGTCCATGCCGCTAGAAGGTCAATCTGGTCGTCCACATACATGTCGTCGTTCTCTTCCACCATGTTGATGTTCCTGCCCAAGTTGGGGCATGTAGTTCTTGTCGTTTGGGTGCTCTCTCTGTAGTTCTTCACTGTGCTTGTAGTGTTTGGGAGGTTGCTCTTCTCTGTCCTCTAACCCATGCTTCTTGTCTTCTGCTGCATCACTTGCGTCCATGGGCTCATTGCTTCCACGACCAGGTCCGTCATCTGTTCGGGCCTTCTTTGACGCACTCTCTTCTTAAGCTTCTCTGTCGTCTGCCCTGCCTCCGATGCTCGGGGTGTACTCTTCGTCACTTTCCGGATGGGCGTCGTGATAGTCAATCACTTTGGCGTCAGCATCCATCACCTTGAAAGGAAGAACTTCTGTGAAGGTAGTTCACGTAGCTTGACTTTCATTGAACCACGTGTTGGTGCTTTCTTCATGGAATCAAGAAGAATTTCCAGTCCAATCAAAAGTTCTTTCTCAAAGTCCTTTACACATAGCCGGACTGCTCTTGGTCTCACCAATCGAGAGTCTTCAATTGCAACAATGTCCTGATCGGCTCCATCTTTTTCTAGCCAAATGCCTCTCAACCATCTTCTTTCATACTTGGACTTGTGCTCGTCGAGGGCGAAAACTGTGCTACCAAAAGCGCAAATGCGTCCACCATATGGTCGTCCGTGAAGTGCTTGCAATGGCGTTGTCTTCAATGTGCTATGGACTGCATACCTGTTGAGTAGCCATGCACTGTGTCTTGCTGCCCAGCTGTGGATTGCATGCTCGGGGTCAAAGTAGACTCCAGCTTTTGTCTCAAGGTGCAAGATGAGTGCTTTTGCTTGATTGCGAAGGGTCTGGATGTATCTCTCAGCTGCTGCTGTCTTCGACTTGTCAAATGCTTTGTTCATATCCAGTGTTGTTGCTAAACCCATTCTTATTCTTGTTTCCTTTGCTAGTTCAAGACCTGGAAGTAGGACTTTCTCTGGGTCACAAACCAATTCAACTTTCTCAACTTGGCCAATCCTGCCTAGCTGCCTAGGAAACTCAGGATGGCATCTGCGACATTCTGTGTTGTCTTCTTCAATGGAATGGCTTCTGTGTACCTTGTCCACATGTCAACCAAAACCAAAGCTGCAACTCCTCCAGGGATCGTGCCAGAGTCCATCTGAACCGTGGGATGTTCCTTGTGACTGCTCGGTCCAGGAAATTGTCTCTTGGTATTGTCCTTGGCCTTTGCCATCACACAAATGTCACACCATGTCTTGTAGGGTAGGTGCGTCAAGTTGTGAAGTCGTCTCTCAAGCTTGGAAGGAAGTTTGGGAACTTGTTGTCCTTCAATAGGTTGATCATCTTTCTTCATGTGCTCAAGAGCTAGTAGTGTTGCTTGTCGTCGTTCTTCACGTTTGATCACGTAGTTCAACCTGTCAAGGATCTTCTGTTTTGAACCACTGCCTGAAACTCCAAGCCAATTGGCTGCTGCTCTGAGATCTTTCATGGCCGAATAAGCACTCAATGTCATCTCATTCACCACAACTTCTTTTGCCACTTCCATCGCCTCATTCTCAGCATGTTCTTGCGATGCTGCTGCTTCATCAAACTGTTCTGGTCGAAGTCCATGGGCTCCTTGTGATCTTGCCTCAGCTTCAGCTGCGCCAATCATTGGACTCACAATGTCTTCGTCCATCATCTCGAAGAGCTTGTCGAAGTCAAAGAGGTCGTTACTTGCGATGGTCATCACCAACCATTCATTCAATTCCTCCACACTCAGTGATGTCCTCTGTCGTGTTGGGCTTGTTCATGATGTTCTCGCAGAACTCTACCATTTGCCATTGACCAATGTTCTCAGGCTCTCCATTCTTGAACTCTCTGATGAATGTGCTTCTGTAAGGAAATCTCTCTCGCCAGATGGTCTTGATATCAGTGTACTTGCTGGTCACGGTCTTGATGAACACCGTCTCGTGGTCACAATGTCTCCACAAGTTGTTGGGCTCTGTCTCAAATCCAAAACCATCTTTGCTCTTGACCAGCGTTCGAACATGTAGCCGTACTTCAGGTTCATCCTTTTCTTCTTAACCTTCTTCATCTTCTGCTCGTCGAACTGTGCCTTGAACGGCTAACGACATGCCTCGGTAGCCAACCGGAATCTCCGTCAAGGCATCTGGTGAGCATAGTCGAAGTTGATCGTGATCATGTTGATCATGATGAAGTGTCCATCCACTCTTCAGTAGTTGACCAAGGCTCAATAGGCAACTCGTCACTTCTCCAACCAAAAACCGGTGTCTCAGGGTCACAGGTGTTCCTTGGCTGTCACACACCTCAATCTCGGTTTCTCTGCTTCCATCCACGTTGAGCTTTCGTCCTTGGCAATCTTGAAGCTTGTGTTCACCTTTGATGTTCTTGTCCACGTTGTAGAACCTTCGAGGAAGTAAGCTCACATCAGATCCGCTGTCGATGATGATGGTCTCCATTTCGCCTTCTTCTGGGATGTTCTCGAGAATGATGTCAATCTCTTGGTTGAACCATTTGTAGAATGCATCATTCTTCTCTTCTGGGCTTGTCGTTGATGAAGTCATGAGGTCATTCATGGTCTCTGTATTCAGGAAAAGTAGAACTCTGTGTTCACCATGTTCACCTGTCCATTGCTTGGTTCAGATGTCATAAAGGTGGTGATATCGGCTGCTGTTGCTGAAAGGCCTGGTTCTGAACTTGATTCACTCTCTGTGGACAATCTCGTGCCCAATGTCCTTGTTGATTGCAAATCAAACATGTGTTGCCACCTCCATTGCAGTTCTGGTTGTAGCTGTTGTAGCTCTTGCTCTTCCCTTTGCTTCCTTTCTTGCCGCCTTTACTCTTTCCTTTGTTCTTTCCTTTGGACTTTCCTTTACCGCGGCCTTTTCCTTTGCCTCTTCCTTTTCCATAGCCTCGGCCTCTTCCAAAGGTCCAGGCCCCTTGCCACCAGCTTCCTTTGCCTTTGTCTTTTCCTTTTCCTTCGTATTTGCCTTGGCCTTTACCTTTCAGGTCAGTCACTCTGTCGACTTCCATGGCTGTGGCTTCATCTCCTTCCTGAGGCTCGTACTGGATCACGTAGTTCCAGCTGCTTGAGGATCTGCTCCTGGGAAAAGCTTTTGGATGTTCTCTCATAGGCTAACAATGCTTCTCTCACATCAGCATATGTTGACTTGTCAGTCAAGGAAAGTTGGAGGTATTCCTTGAGCTTTTGCGGTGCACACTTGGATATGTCTCTTTGCTCGTCTGCTCATACTGCATGACCAACTGCTCAAACTGCAAGAAGTCCTCCATCATGGACAGCTTTTGGTTGAAGCTTGGATACTGTCCAAGTGTCTGCGCTAGTGCTAGGGACCGTTGGCGTGTTGCAGGAAGGAATTCCCTGCACATCTGGAACCAAAGCCTGAATCCATCTTTGGCTTGCTGGTTTGCTCGAACCATCTGAAGACATCTTCCTCTCAAGTAGGAACTCAGCACTGCGAAGAACTTGTTGGCAATCGCTGTCTGTTCTGGCGTGTAACTTGAGCAATCTGGTTCTCTTGCACTGCCTTCTACATTGGCCAGTAGTTCATTGAACTTTGAATCTCCAAAGCTCAGCCATGATTCAAACTGCAGTTTCCATGTACAATGGGTCTTCACTATTGAAGGTGTCTGGACTTTTCAGGATCTTTGTGGCTGACTCCCAGCCTTGCGTTGAAGAACTTGCTGTCTTTGTCATGGCCTGTGTGGCCTCTGTCGCTGCTTGTGCTGCTGTGCTGGCTGCTTCTGCTAGGCGTGTGATGTGTTGCAGCATTTGCTGTGTTTCCATGCTTTGCGCTGTTCCAACCATCATGAACAGCATCATCACTTGTGTTTGGCGTTTCCTAACCACTTGGCTCAAACGGCAAAGCCTTTTCTCCTTTCTCTTTTCTCTTCCTTTCACTCTCTTCTTTAGCCAGTCTCTGCGCTCAGCTTTTGTTCTCCAGCCTTGTTGAGGATCTTCTTGAAGTCTATAGGCCGCGGTGATCAGGGACATGAAGATCATCACCATGCCAGGCCACCTGCTCTGGATGGCAATTGAGATCAAGCTCATAGTCTTGTAGACATCAAGGTCGTTTGCCAGCTTCATAGTCTTGAAGTGCTCTTTCACCTTGTTCTCCTTGAAGACGTTGTAGTTCCACTCTTTCACGTCAAAGCTTTTGATGTAGTTCTGGCTTTCTGTGGCATTTGTGATCACCTGCTCAATCTTTTTCTCAGAGTGCTCCAAGCACATCGTCTCCTCCAAGGAGATCTGGATGGTGGCCTTCTTGATGTCTTGCTCGTTCTCTTTCTCCAGGACATAGTTTTTTTTGTTCAAGTGAGTTCATGGTCGCCTCACTTGTGGCCATCATGATGTCCTCCTCATTCTCTTTCTCTTGCCTCTGGGGCTCGAACCCAAAGCATGCCACTTTCTCTTCTTCGTGAAGTCCAACTTCACTTGAGGACATGTCTTCTCGACTGGGACTCGAACCCAAGGTCGCAGGTGTCGTGAGCTCCAAGCTCATCTTTTCTTTCTCGAGGTGAGTCATGAGTGCCCCACCTTCATGCCAGCTCCTGCTTCTCCAGCTCGAACATGTCGAAGTGCTCTGCATCATCCACCAGGAAGATCTTGTTCTCGACGTCCAGGATGTAATGGGCTCATCTCCATCTCTTGCACTCCATGGTCTCAACGATGTAGTGCCAGCCAGCCAGGCTGCTCTCCTCCTCGTGGAATTCATGCTCTGATGTCCTGTCTCCATCATGTGGGGCTCAGCTGCGATCATCGGCTCAGAAGCCAACCGATGATCATCCGTCATGGCTGCGCGCCCTCATGATCCCGAAGGATCAATCCTTGGGCTCCGCTACCATGTCAAAGGTAGAAGCGGCTCTTTTCCACTTCTTGGCTTGCAAAAGCCGCTGCAGTCATATGTGGTTCATATGTGCACGCAAACAATGTCTGAGTGCCATGATCTAACCTGACAGATTCCTATCAAAAGGTTTAAGGGTCTAAGATTCCTATCAACATTCCGTGCATGAGTACTCCAATTCACCCACCGCAGCTAGAGAACGAATATAATCACAATTATATACTACTCTTTCGGCACCATGCCACAGTTGCCACCATAAAGACGCCCCTTCCATTCCCATGCCCTTTTTGCAACCCACCTGCCACCCCATCAATCCTGCCCCGCAAAAAACAAACAAACCACCCCTGCTGCGAGGCACCCGGCGTGCTTTGCTTCTCTGCTCCTTGAGTGCCCGCCGTTGCTCCGCCCGCCGTTGCTGCGAGGCCCGGATCCTCGACAACGATTGAACGGTCGCATTCTTCGGCTGAGAACATTCGAAGGGCTCGAGGAGAAAGCCGTTGGTGAGGGCAAGTTGCGAGGTTTGGACGGGCAACATGTCCATTATTCACCTGCTTTCAGGCATCCGCCCACCATGGCAAGAGGGAATCGCAAATCAAGAGAAGAAGCAAATGGTTTGCTCAATGGGGGTTCTTTACTTCCCTGGCTGGTGGTATCCACATGTTTTGTTTACAGCCGCTTCGTGACTTAAACCCTTTTTAGTGACAATAAACCTGCATGTTTGAAACCGCCAAGGTCACCAAACAGTTCCAGTTTGGCAGGTTGTTCATTGTGAAAATGGAGAATTGCATCCAATCAAGTTTACGGGGTGTTTGTTTGTCATGCCGCAATACCAAACAAAGACCTGCAACAACCATTGCAAACCACTGATGTGTTTGTAGAAAATCACATCCGTTATATACATCCAAACTGTTGCCTGTGTGTCAATTTTGGGCACAAGGGGCAATTACCTGCGCGATGGGTTGGAATTGCTTTGAGGGTCAGCTGAGACACACACACATATATATATATACACATGTGTGTGTATGTGTGTATAAATGTGTATGTCGTTGTACAAACAACATACACACACAGTCCTGAGGCTGGCCCAAGTCTTTTCCCCCCCAAGATTTGTTGGCGCAAACCGACTTTGAACAACCAAACCTACATCTAAACACAGGCGAAGAGTGGGCTGAAGGGACAGATCAAAACTTGCGAGTTCACTCTGTGTCTTCCCTTCCCCGTCGTCGCCGAAACCTGACATCGCTGACTCCCCAAAGTAACCATGGCTGTGTTGGTTTGCCCTCCTCCTATAGCTTTCAGCCCCAGGAACTGTCCAGAGTTGGTTGGCATGATTCCTGGCACGACGTCTCCATCACCCAGGAGTTCGCAACGACCACCTGCCTGCAGCCGCTTTCTTCGGTTTTCGATCGCTGAGGAACCTTCACTAGTCTTGCCGGAACGAACATCACCTGTGTCTAGTTTGAGCAAACACTTAGTTCAATGCACTGTGCACCGCGTTTTTGGAAGGACTTTTGGACCGCACAGAAACAAAAAAGACACAAATTATATATACCAGTGTAGGCCCAAAACAGTTTGCGCGTTTATGAAGTAAGCCACAGAGACGAACTGTCAAACCGCTCAAACCGTTCCAGGTCGCGGTGATCAACTCGGACCTTCTGGGTTTGTTTCAGCACTTGGCTCAATTGGCTCAAGGTCAGACCGGCAATTCAGTGTACTGACATCTGGCTTTATCATGCTTTGTTTGGCTAAAGGGACGTTAAAAGCTTTCAACCCACCATGAGTTGTGACTGAGACAAGCCAGAAGACAAGAAGGGAGACAAGTGAAGCAACAAGGAATGTAACAAGAAGGGAAGCAAAAGCAGAAAGACCGCCAGAAAAAAAGGAGTTCATTTGGCCGAGAATATCCAAGCATGGAGACAAGCAGAGACAAGTCCATCTGGCCAAGAGTATCTAAGTAGGAGACCAGCAAGAGACTCCGGCCAAGTGTGCCCAAGGGACTGGAGACAGTGGGAGAGAAATGGGAGACACGTGTAAAAATCATGGCCAGAGACAAGTGGAAGACAAATGCAAAATCATGCGGCCAAAGCACCTACAAGAGACTGGAGACAATGGGAGGGACAAATGGGAGACAAGTGCAAAAGTTGAAACATGCTGAGAAATCTGGGATTTGGCCTTGGGTTCGACTCCCCCTTCACCCTGTAACTTATGGCGGCAGCATGTTGTGACGCCGTCCCGCGGCCGGGGACCAAGCCTCCTCTTCTTGGAGGCGCGCGCGCGCAGGGTCTGTGCAACAAAAACAACCAGCCCCCAAAACGCACTCTTTGGTGCTCGCTCTCTCTCTCTCTCCCTCCCTCCCCCTTCTAAACATTGACTCACATAGGCCCCCCCGCATGGGGGCCAAGCAGTTTCGCAATCCCAGACCTGACACGCCAATCCCTGTGGCACAACAACATTCACCTCCGCCAAACGTCGCAACCTCACGACTCCCTGCGCCTGCCAGGACAGTTTGGAATGACTTCGACACTTTCTGAGACCGCACAATCGAAACTTTGCCCGACTTGAAGAGGCTTCTAACGAAAACACTGCCTGGAGGCAACGGCCTCGTCACAGCAAGGGCAACTGAGGATCTCACAAAACGCTGCGCTGGCGCAGCAAAATCACCCTCGCCACTTCCACATGTTACGTTCTACGCTATTTCACACGGATCTGCTGCTTCATGCTTCCATCCAAAACCTTCTCCAAAAACTTCCCCGATGCACTGTAGAGGAATTAGCAACCTGGCGACGAACCGGCGACGACTCCCCGCCGACGCACACGACACAAACAGAGGTCCAGCTAGCCCCCAGACCCAACTATAAACGGGAACACTTCACTACGCATTCGGGTAGAAAACGATGCCCCTTCAATTTCCATGCCCTTTTTGCAACCCACCTGCCACGCTATCAATCCTCCCCCACAAAAACAAACGACCCCTGTCCAAAAATTCAAGGAACGTCGGCCTCTCCAGTTACGGCTTGTCGAAAGAAGAACGGTCCCAATACCAGTCCAAGCACCGTACACTGCTCCTTGAGTCCCCGCCGTTGCTCCGCCCGCCGTTGCTGCGAGGCCCGGATCCTCGACAACGATGGAACAGTCGCTTGCATTTTTTTTGCTGAGAACATTCGAAGGGCTCGAGGAGAAAGCTGTTGGTGAGGGCAAGTGGGAAGGTTTTGACGGGCAACATGTCCACTATTCACCTGCGTTCAGGCATCCACCCACTATGGCAAGAGGGAATCGCAAATCAAGAAAACAGCCAAAAGGATTGCTCGTTGGAGCCCAAACAAACCCGCACTTGTCAACCATACTGCTTTAGTTTACAGTCTGCAGTTCACTTTTTCATCATTCCAACAAACTCAAAATTGCTCCCTCTGTGTCAGCTCTGAGCAAGAAGGGCAACTGCCTGCAGGGTAATAGGTTGGATTTTTTTTGAGGGGTCGCGTGGACTAAGCTATATGGTGGGTTTCCAAAATGCTTTTCCCAAAATGGTGCACTCATCACAATTCCATGGGGGCCCGCTTCTAAGTCTCCTTTAAACTCCAACCACACTCAAACCACAGGGATGTTAAACATGAAGACATGTCAACTGCAAAAGCTGTGAGAGGTGTCTAGCGCGGACCTTATCAGGGGCCTGCTGACTCAAAAGATTTGGATGTTGGATGGGCTGATGGTCAAGAAATGGACTGTCGTCTCTTGCGGCGCTAGCGCGGATCTAGGGCCAGCCTAGCGCAAAAATATCCGTCGATTTCTTTATCCTGTCAGATTCTTATTTTTCCTGCTTGTTTGTCTTCTCGTTGTTGTGCATTATTTTTATTAATATCCTTCTTCTTCTTATTGTGTGTGTTTTCCTTTTTCTTGTCTTGCTTCTTCGTTCTCCTGCTCTCTGCTTGTTTCTTCTTTTTTGCTTGCTTATCCTGTTATGAAGAAACCAAGCGCCAACCTAGCGCTACCTTGCTGTATCACCATAGTCTGCTGGGGGGCCCGCTTCTACTCGATGACATAAAAACATCTCCAACCTTAAAAGTTTACGTTTATCTATATTTTTTGAGTAGGGCTTTTTGAGCGCAGTCCATAAATGCATATGTTAATACTGCGGGCACATATACACCAAAGTTCTGGGGCTGATCCAAGTTGGTGCTGTGGAATGGCAAAGGGCAACAAAACATCTACACTTATATAACATATATTGACAAAGAGAGTTCAGACTTGTGACTTGACTCTTTTATTTCTTCACCATCGCCGAAACCTGAAATCGTTGACTCGATCCCTCCCTCCTTGGAAAGAACGAGTCCTTCCAAAAGAAACTATGGCTGTGTTGCCTTGTTCATCTCCTATCTGCCTGAGTAAAATGCTTCGGCTTCTTAAACCCACTTTCAGCCCCAGGAACTGTTCAGGGGTGGCTGGCGCGATTCCTGGCACGATTTCTCCAGCGCCCAGGAGTTTGCAACGACCACCGACCTGCGGCTGTTTCTCTTCGTTTTTTCGATGGCTGAAAGAGCCTTCACGGATCTTGCCGGAATGAACATCACCTGACCTCAAGCTTGTGAAACCAATAAGTACATATTACATATTGTTCAATACCTACAGTGCACATCGTTTCTGGAAGCATTTCTTCCCCAAAGGGAAACTGTAAAGCAAACAATGATCAGTCCAGTAGACCTATGGCCTGCGTCCCAGAAAGAACCCCCGAGGAACCTGGTTCCGTCACGGACTGCGATTGACATCGATTGACGACTAGCACCTACTCTGCCCACCTGACCTACCCCATTTTGGGCCACCCGCCCACACATGTGACGGCTTCAGTTCTAACACCCCCTCGGTGTCCTTGCAAAATGGAAGTTCACCGAAGCTTCCACCTCTTCAGTGGGGGCACCAATTCCCAAAAATGGTCGGCTGCCATGTGTTGCAGATTTCCACTTTTCCTGGGGAGTTGCAATGTTTGCAAACTCGCGCTACGTCTCTGAGAGGAGTTGTTCATGCCAAAGACGGATCAAAAGATCCGTAAACAGCACCGCGTGCTTTCCGTACAGCACCGCATCCTGCCTGCGACCGCTGCGACGGGTCGTTTCCACCCTTTTGCTTTGGGGGTCCGAGTCCTTCTGCTGGGCGGGGCCGCCCAAAGAATCCCATCATATCCATGAACAAAATGACCGCGCATTCAACAACAGGAGGTTCCCAACCGTCCACGTTCGGCAACCTCCTGGCCCCGCCTGTTGGAAGCAGAACTGGTGATGAGACATGCTTGCAGCCTTAAACAATTCCACGCGCACAGCTACAAATGGCTGCGGGAGAGGTTGTGCGGTTTGCATCACGTGGATTCTCTCTTTACAGCGCTTGATTGTTGGTCCGGCGCGCCAAGCTCATCTTTTTCCATGCGTCGCAGCGCCACTCTTGCTCGGCTCCAGTGGCTTCTCGGACTTCTGGGCCTCCTTGACAAACTAGCTAATGGCTGTGCGTAATGTGCATATAATATATATATATATATTTTTAAACATATACTGTATGACCTTTACAGCCAGTACCCGAAGAAAACCTGGGAACCCGGGGTTTGCGTTTTCATCGCTTTTTGGATTTGAGCACGTGCATACTGATGTGGCAATTTCTTGCTTGAGTATCGAGAATACGGGTGTCAGTTCAGAAGATCTTGATTATTTGGCACTCAGAAGTCGTTCGGCATCTGACCTCCAAACCCGTGATTTTTTCCACGGGTTTGCACGGGTAAATCACGGGTTTAGCACGGATATGAAAGAATAAAGGTTTTTTTCCAAGACCCGGTGTTTTTCAAGCAAATCACGGATTTTCACGGGTAAATCACAGGTTCAGCGCTGGTAAATCACGGGTTCTACCTGCACCTGAACTTTTCCCAATAACATGTCAATAAAGTGTCAACAAAACATAGCAATGGAACGAAATTGAACGAAAAACACAATTGGATAACCACCCGGATTGTTCAGCATGCAAAGGAATTCAATCAACTTTAAACTCAGCAGGCAAATTGAGAGAATACCCGGGGTTTTCCAGGGAAACCCGAGGTTGTTCCCATTTTACAAGAATACCCGGGGTTTGTCCACATAACCGAGGAAAAGTTAAGCTTCCGGCTGGCGGGCTATATATGTATACTAAGATATATGAATATGTGCGGCATTAATGCACATCTACATGCATTAGCACAATTTATTTTAAAGCATGCGCTAAGCATATACAAACACAGATCACGTCATAAAATACGGGAATGTTTGCAGAATACCATGCTGATCTGTATGTTTTCAACCTTCAGAAACTGTGTGAACACCTATGGGTCCGTAAAGCCCCACGTTTCAAGTGTATTGGGGAAAGAAACAACTTCCTCCCGGTGCATTCACCCGCTCCTGTCATTTCAACATGGGCTCTGTCAGCGGGTTTCCAGGTTCTTTCTTTTGCTCCTCCGCTTCCGAGCCGCGAGCCGATCCGAGCCCAGATCGGCATGAAGACCGCGATGGCCTCCACCCTAGTACAAGCAATGGCCCTGAAAGCTTCCCAATTGACCAACAATCTTTCGAACAAATCCAACAGCAATCTGCACTGTGAATGGACTTGGTGCATGGGCAGGTGAGGCAAGTGGCCTCTTCGGACGCCTTGGCGGTTTCGGAGGTTTCAGTGGGCATGTCGCCCTCAGAAGCGTGGAACGTTTTTGATCTGTTGGGATCATCCCCATCGACTGCCTGAACCTCAGTGGCCCATTTTCTTCCACCAGGCGGCTGGGCCAACCCTGCGTGCGCGCCCGCGCCCTCATACCCTGCTCTCTCCCCCCTCGCCGGTCCTACCCGAGTCCAGCCGCACCAAGAGCTGGGTGCTGTCGCCCAGCTCGAGCTGGGTCGGCGTGGGAACGAAGCGAAGCTGCACTGGGCGGCTGGTGAAAGCAGTGAAATGGCTGAGTGCCAAGCTGGGTTCGTTTCTGCGTGAGCGGGAGGAAACTTCACATTCAAGACCCCAAAAAGGTCCCCCTCCAGCACCCCTGGCACGTTTCAACCTGTTTCAACCAGGCCTCTGGGCATCTCATGCGCTGCGAGGAGGAGCTGAGCGAACCCTTGGCGCTGGAGGCGATGGGAGAAACGCCCCCCCCCGGCCTTGGGCAGCCAGAAAGGGGTCAAGGGCTGCTGAACCAAAAGGAACTTCAGCATCGAATAGAAACCACCCTTGTCCATCTCCTGAGCTTGAAACCCCGGCCACCGCACGAACGACCATCGACGGGCACCGCAACAACAACGACCCCGTTTCCGGTGAGTTGAGAACGACACCCTTCACGCAGGAAAGGTTGAAGGCCCAGCCCATCCATATCGTTCCATCTCCAAAAAGAAGAAACAACAAAACATTGCACAAAGGGGTGCCGAGCTTGGAGGATAGGGGTGCCTATTCTCCACTCACTGGATGGGACTAAAAACCACCCGTTGGTGGACCCCCAAGTCACTTTCCCGCTGTCGAAACGACCCCAAGACCCCTGAGCAGGGACCCATGGAGTGCCCACGGAGGGACTGGCTTGAGTCGGATTGGCCTCCATGTGTTCAATCCGGACAGAAGTCCCCCCTGCTTGGGAGGGCCTTTTCCACTCAAGGGGGAGCCCAGACATGACCAGCCAGGCTGAAAAACTGCTGGTGTTCATAGGACAGGAGAAGACCCTATTTTGAGTGGTTGGTGGTCCAAAAATCTCCAACAAATGCGGTCCTTTCTTTCGGCCTCCAGCCCAGCTGACCAGCCCTGACCCAGCCCACCGAGCTGCGATGGCGTTGGTGATGAAGCCGCCGGTGGGGGCGTTGCTTCAAGTCCTGGACGTAGCGGAACTTCAGGTCCTCGAAGCGCCTTCGGGTGGTGGTGTGGACCAGTTTCAGAGGCTCGGTGGCACTGGCAGTTGATGTCATATATAGGGGCCCATATAAACCACCTAACTTGGGGGCCCTTGTGCCATCTACTCTCAACCCACCATAAAGTCAAAAATCCTGCCAGAACTTTGTGCTTAATCTCACGGTGTGGCGGCAATGCATGCATTCACCTTGGAAGTCCCAAACACTTTTTTTGCCCCCCAAAGTCACGGAAAGTCCTCTTCGGGTCACCTAAATGAAAAACGAGTGTTTGATGAGCCTTGGACTCTCAGGGTTTACCAATATGATTGGAAGGTTCCATTCAACTCATCCTCCCCAATGAGTAGTTCCATTCAACTGGCACCGTGTATACCACCGACCTCAAACCTCCTCTGCTCCGGTTCGTTCGGTACCCCAGGCCACGGGGTTCAATTGAAACACCAGCGGTCGATGATTTTTAGACCATGTCCACCTTTCTTTTGGTCTTTGAAGGCTGGGGTATCTTTTGGTCTTTGAAGGCTG